CAGAAATCGTTCTGTGCCTTCAAAGCAGGAAACTTTTATATAGGAGGCAATAGATTTATTAGACTACTGTGCGGAGTTTTGCTGAGGTGCTCTGGCAACGAGGTTGTGTTTGGGGTGGTGGGCCCAGTTAACACAAGGCCATAAATGTAGGCAGAGCAGTTGGCCGTGACATGGAGGCAGTGTGGAATCATGGGTGGATAATCGCATTTAGATGCTAGAGAATTATTGCAACAAATAAGGAGATAGCCAGAGAATGAACAGAATAAAATGGATTAATCCACAGACTTCAGAATCAATTCCTAAATAATTTAAGAGTACAAAGAACATGGAGGGTAAATTAAAATAAAAGTTAACACATTTTTGTTTGGAGTGGAAAAGGTTTCAAAGCATATAATTCATAAGAAGGAAATAATAAGAGTGGTCTTTGGAAGTACAAATATTGGAAATGACTGCTCTAGTGAACTAAAAGAATGTAAACATTGTCTGTAATGACAAACTTGAATTGCTGCCTGGGAAGAGCTGCTGTCCCAGTGGGTATTTAGTCTACATTTAGTGGCCCTATCCCTGAATCTTAAAATGACACAGGCTCAGGTATCGAATATGTCTGTGCAGTGTTCAAAACCAATGGGAGCAGATTTTAAATAATCTTAACCCATAGCTTTTGAGGAGCAGCCCCCTCTGCCCACTCTGTGGTTGGAGATTGACCCCATCTGTCCACGTGTGCCATCTCTCTTCAGGCTGGCTCTCTTAGGTTCCTAGGGTGTGAGCTGCAAGCCGCGGGCCGTGTTTGTTCCCTAATAGATATGGATGTGGGTGGGTGTACAGCGGTGCCATTATAAATAGCTCCTAAGAACAACAGATACCATGGAAATGCTTTGGGAGCATCGAATATAAAAAAGGAAACCAGAAATTAAAGAAAGGTGGAAAATAAATGAATCACCACCAAAAATAACACGTAGATTGTTCTTTCTCTATCAAACAGATATGTACCCACATACACACACACACACACACACACACCTGCAGGCAAATACAAAGCAATATGTGCATTATTACAGTAGTACATGACTAAAGCAGATTGCACAATAATATGTAAACGGCAATTCCATGTTTTTGTAGGAAAAAATAAACTACTGGCAATTTCATGTAGTTTCATGCTAATATATATGTGTGAACATGTACATATATATATATATCATATATATTCATAGGAAGAAAAAATCTAGATTTGTATGTACAATTTAACATCAACAGTGGTTATCTCTTGATGGCAGAATTATGGTTGTTTTTTTCCTTTATGCTTGTCTGTATTTTTTATTATGGATGTAATAACTGTCTAGTAACTATGTAAATAATAAAAGTAATTTTCAAAGGAGGCATGACAATTTAAAACACTAATAAAAATTTTTGAAAAACACCTCTGTATTTTTAACTTGTAAATAAACAAAAAGATTATGAGGCCGAGTTATAATTACTTACCAATTTCCATTTACTCAGAAGGTACTTCTCAGTATATAATTGAGACCCTGGAAAAACTTGTGATGTTCGCAAGCCACTGGCTCAAAATTCAACATGTCTCTGCTTGCAGGACATACAAGGGACCCCTCTGGGCCCATCTGTATACTCTAGCGACTCCAAGGCCCCTTAGTGAGGCAGAGACTGACTGAAGTTGACCACGCAAAGTCCCAGATTTGTTGCCGGGGAAGTGGTAATCACTAAAACACAAACCCCAATTAATCAGGCTCTCTTGGAGTGGGGCCCAGCCATTGCGTATTTATTTTAAAAAGCTCCCCAGGTGATTCTAATGTGCCTCCAATAGTAGAACGATGGCCCTAATGGATTAATTTACTAAGGGGTCATTTGAATGCGGCCTTTTGAAAGAGGTAAAATTAAAGCGGAGAGGATTTGGTTGACCAAGGCTAAGTTGTTGTACGGCCCTGAGCTTTGTGAGAAAATGATTATGCAAATAGAATAAAAGAACATGGGATGTCGAGTGGGCAGCTCTGACTAAGTGAGGTCGGTGGGTAGCCCTCTCTTTCACTTACAGTAGAACAGTCTCAGATCAGATATTCTAGTTGGGAAAATCTGTGTGGTAGCAGCTGATACTCTTATTTCACAAAATACAGCAGAACCCAGTTTTGATGCTGATGCCAGGGGACTAGAGCTCTCTCGGGCACCAGAGGCTTCCAGCCTTTTCTGTAAGAGGATGCACACTCATCTACAAGATGTGCTGGACCTTTGCATACAAATTCCACTGGAAACCATTGGCCCTTGGAATAATTTTTACTCCACTTTAGGAAATCATTTTGAGTGGCTTTCTGTGTAATGACTTTCGTTGCTATTCTGCAGAATTTCAGTGGGTGAAAGTAAGGGAGCCCACAGGGGCCTTCCAGTCCCTGCTCTTCTTTTTACATATCTGCAAACTGAAGTTTTCACTTGCTTTGGTCTTTTAATAGCAGAGGCCAGGACTAGACATAAGTTTAACATCCATCCTGGTTCCCCCCAAATTCACTAGAATTTCTATTTTTGATTGTGACTTGTCTCCAAGCACGAGTGCAAATAGCCATTTTTTAAAATTCTGAACAAATGATAATCATTATCAGGGTCATAACATGTTGGTGTTGTATTATTAGCTGCCACTTACTGCAGTTACTTTTGCCAAACATGTGCCAGTCCTGTGCTGCATAATTTCACGTGTCAGGGAGGAGTACCAACCTTCAAGGACATTTGTATACCCATTTTACTAAAGAGAACAGTAAGATCACACAGACAGAATGTAGATAATTCAGGGTTTAAATCCTGTTCTGACCCTGGGAGTCTGCACTCATGCCACAATGCCACCTTGCCAATAACAGTGGCACCAGAGCCAGGTGGATCAGAGAGAGAAATGCTCCACTTCTGCACTGTGTGCTTCCTGGCCCAAACCCTCTGTCTCAGGACCTTAGCCCTGGGCTTTTCGGACCCATTCATTCTTTTTTCCTCCAGAGCTATACCCAGTAGAACTCTACCACTGCAAGTTTTTTAATAGCTGTATTAGACTTATTTTTCTGGGGGGTAGTTATATATCTCACCTGTTTTTAATGGAGTTTCGTTTTGCTACCCAGCATAATCTTTGTTCCTGTGGTTTAGAGGGAAAAGAAACACTGTTAAGCTCAGCCAGGGTTCTAAACAGATGTTCTGCATGTCTCCCTGTGCAGTTGTAGCAACAATGCATCACTTTCAGACTTCTTAGCCTTGGCCTGCCAGCATCGCTGCGCCCGCGCCAAATGCTTTCAGATACCATGCAATAAGCAAAAACTGAAGTTAGGTTAAAAGTACCACAGTCATTTTATTCTGATTCTTAAGTGCATTAGCATCTGGACTTCGGGAGGTGTACCACCTTCTCTTGGCACTGAGTCTGTGCAGTAAGGGGAAATCAAGTGTTCTGTGGTTTAAGAAACCTGACTATGTACACATCTGAATATGATTGTATCAGCATGAACAAATTATCGTCTTTTATGAGGATTTTTCATTTTAAAGAAAGATTTGCCAGAAATTACCCTTTGCCATCTCATTATTAAAAAAAAAAAAAAGTGGTGGTCCATTTGCAAGAGTGTGATTTACACACAACTTTTAAAAGCTACTTTCGTAACAAATCAGATAGTAAAACACACAAGAGCTGTAATTAAAGCACACCACACTTATGTACTGCAAGGGTTTTCTGTCACAGTCAGCATTAAATGCAGGAGTGGGTTAGGTAAGCGAGATTGCATGGAGCCCACAGCTGCATCTATTGTCCTGGGAAAGGTTACAGTGCAGTCAGATAAAATTTATGAAGTTCTCAAATGTGTACTGTGCTAGATTTGTGCTAGATTTGTTATTAAAAACATAATCCAAAATGACAGTCTCACCCCTGTGTGGCTCACCTTCAGGCAAACAGAGAAGGGGACTGCATAAGGTGAACTTCAAGGTCCCCTGACTACTGTGTGACTGTTAATGATTAGCAATGACCTCAGTTCTTGTAGTCTGACAGTGTCCCATCTAAACTTTAAGAAGGGACTATTGAGAGGGATGAAACACCATGTAAGTCTTCTGGAATCTTGGCATGGCTTTGGGAGGGTAATCGTCCCAGTCTTCTGCATTGCGGTGGAGTCGTGTTGGCCAGAGATGGGACCAGGGGTGGGAGAGTGGGGAGTAGAGGGACTATGGTATAAAATAAAGCAAGCCACAGGTGCCAAGTCGCAAAGCGATGTGCAAGATTAGGTTACTTGGTGATGGGAGATGGGACAGAAGAGGGTGGATGGAAGGCCCTGGGGAGAACTGATAAAAATCCCTCTGCTGAGCTGACTCCTATGGCCCTGTTGAATGTCTTTACTGTTTATCTATATCATCCGATGAGTGCACTGCTTACTGTAATGATTATAAAATGACATCTTTTCCATTGAGAGAGATGGTATAAATTTGCACAGATAATGAACATGTGAAACAAAAAACAGTGGTTTCTTAAAAACAGCATATTCACAATACCACAGCCAAACCCAACAAGAATGCATAAAACAGGCAGAGTTTCAGATTTTTTATCCAGGCCATGATTACTGCAAACCAATGGAGGATCCTTTAAATATTTATTCAGTGGTTCGTTTTTCTATCATCACATAGAGTGAAATGGCCACCCTTACCTGAGCAGGCTTCTGGCTGCATATGAAAAACGGACAGGCAGCAAGCTCCCTGTTCTCACTGTGCTGATAAGAATCGAGCACATACAACAGAGAGAAATGCTAGTAAACCGGAGGGAAAATAAATCCTTAAAAAATGAAGTAACTGCCCTTGAAAAATATTTCAAAAGAGAAAAATAAAAAATGAGAATGAAAAAGAAAAACATGGGCAACATAATCCATACTGTTTGCAAAAATGGAGAAAATGTTTCATTTATACAGGTAGATATAAAGTGATACAGGAGATATATCTGCTCCATATAAATTTATTAAATGCAACTTTCTTTTTCTCTTTCTTTCTTTTAGATAAAAAACCTCTTCATGAAATAAAACCCCAAAGTAAGTTATTTTTCCTCTTGTGAATATAATTTATTCTCATATTTGCTGCCTCACTGTTGTATTTGTTTAGGAACCAAGCAGAATTGAAGTTCCTATGAAAGATCCAGGACTTTGGGGGCTTCTAATCATTGAGTTCGGAGTTGCATATCAGAGGTTTAAATCAAAAAGAAATATGCACACCCTTCCCCTCCCTCAGAGTAAAAGCAAATCTCTCCTCTTGATTCTTTCTGCCTGTAAGTCCATTTCTCTGCAAATGTCATCTAGGATTCTTATTTCTGAAGAGATTTATAGCACTGAAATTAATAAATATTTGTCAGTATATGCTGTCATGAGAGCAGTCTTGGGCAAAGGTTGACTCCAAGCCTCTCCACCTGAGGAGGAGGGGGAGCCTGAGCATGAAAACCCATGGAATTAAATCCATGGCAACAGGGTGGACGAGGACCCGAAATTCCACAGTGAAATAATTGTGAGCTGAGGAGTTTGGTGTGGGTGCTGGCTTGAGCTCATTATATGCAGGTTGGCTTCCTGGAGAAGCCTCAGCATTGTCTCCATTGTATGCATCCAGCAGATGTGCAGAAAGGAGCATGGCTTGGAGTTTTGGCTGTTTGGCATTGGACCCCAGGTTTCTCAGCCTTGACTGCAATTTACAGTCACCTGGAGGCAAATAAAAAATTTTCAGATCCCGGGTTGTACAGTGAAATCAGAATTTGAGGTGGGGGGGGCTACGAGGACCCAGAAATCCCTAGTTTTCAGAGCTTCCCAAGTGATTCCAATGTGCAGCTCAGACTGAGAACATTTTTCTCAAAAGGTGGCTCAGAGACTCCTTGTGTCAGAGTCTTAGAGTGTGGTGGTAGCTTATTAAATATGCCCCACCCCAGAAAAAAACAAATTAATTAGAATCCCTGGTGGAGGACTGCCTAAGAATCTACATATTGATATGTTTTCCAAGTCATTCTCACACACTCAGATATGTAAAGCATACTAGAGAAACCTCCAGATACAAGGGCAGCAGCAACACAGCTTTTTTCAATATGAGACTTTTGGCTGGTTTCCTTTGTAAAACTTGTGAAAGATGTCTCTGCCCAGTATATCTCATTTTAGGGTAAAATGAATGACTTTTGATCTTTTAAGTCCTGGGGTGTTAAAATTCAAAGAGCTTGGTAGAGTGAATAGGTTTTATTAGCTAGCTTCTTTGAAAGAATTAAGACCCTGTGAGGATAGACAGAAATAGGTCCCTTGGGACAGGGATCAGGAAACGAGAGAAATAGCCAGTAAAGCCATTCCCTTCATACTTCCTTATGTTGCTTCGGGCAGGCTGCAGATTAAAGGTACCATTACTTGCAGAATCTAGAATTTCATAGAACAACAAAAGCCAACTTTCCTTACTTCTGTCTCTGCTGTCTGCTGTCCACAAGGGAATCATTGGTACTTAAGTAGCGGCCCTCTGAAATCACACACATTTGATTTAGAACTCATGGGAAGGCTGAGGTTGGGGAAACCCAGCTGTGTTGTGTATGTGCATATTGAAGGAGAGAGAAAGAAACAAGTCACTGAATATTTGGCCTGTGCCTGTGTCAAGACCCTCAAGATGACAGCTGGAGTGAGCGGACCTTTTACTTCCTCCTGATCACGTGGTTCATGCCATCTGCTGGATCTGGTGTGTAGCACAAATAAGATCATGTGTATCCATGTGGTGGCCAACATGAGAGTTACTTAGATATGCATGTGTGTGTTTTTAAACTTAATTTCACGCTTAGTTTGTGAGCCCTGTGCCATTCTAATTTGGTTACATCTGTATTTCTAGCCATAAACCCCACAGAAGCTATTTCTAGTCCTCAGGGACTCCTGAATTAGTTTTTGCTTGGGGTTCTCGCTCCTGAGCACCATGCTTAATTGCTGGATACTGCAACGGAATCGCTTAAACTGTTTTAATTTGAGATTTCCCTAAAAATAAAACCTTAGCAGAATCAGTGTGATTGCAAAAGGCTCCCAGAGGAATCTAATCGGGATTCTGTAAGCTGCATGGTTAGGAGTGCATTATAGAAATTCAGGCTGCAGTTGTTCAGTGAACGCGGGGCTTAGTTTAAGACTACATGAATCATCACTGATGCAAAATCAAAGTCAATTATGAAGATAATTGAGAAACAACCTGTTCCTATATATAGCTGAACACATGATCTTCCGCAAGGCCTGGTGGTAGAAAACATCACTCAGAGCCTTACATAGTTCTCTGCAAGTGGGAGGGCAGAGGAGCCAGCTTTGAGTTGCGGGGAGGTGTAAAGAGAAAGTGAAGTCTTAAGATATCTGTTGGCAAATCATAATGACAAACTGGGGAAAATATGTGCACCACATAGCTCATGAAAGCACTTATTGTAAATGAGATAATTTAATCAATTACGTTTCCTAATGTACTAAACTGAATGTTTCATTTTCTGCTTCTGCACATCTTAAATTATCTTCAGGTGCTTTATGAGATTTAATCATAGTTAATAGAAACTTCATTACCATCAAATGTGCTTTCAATAAATGTTGTGTAACAGTGTCAGGAGGTGCAGTAAAATATAGTAGATTCTGCATGAGAAACACGCACCCCCAGAGTCAGACCGAGAAGTGGTTGTGTTCAGACAATGAGACGCCTTGGAAGCTTGGAGAATGTGGTTTTCAGAAAGCCTGGGAGCTTCTGAGGAGCAGACGGTTTGGTGAGTTTACCTTAGGGGTGAAAGGATTTAGCTTTCCCCTCGAAAATAACTCAGCACAACATGCTCTCTCTCCATCTCCTTTCCATGTAGTTGTTTTGTACCTAACAGAGATGAAGCTCAGCATGAATCCAATTAATAACTTCTAGATTCAACTACCTCCAGGAGATCTACAGTTGAATATCTTTCCAATAACCTTAATCTCCACTTCTTCGAAATTGAATTAATCCTTCTCTATGCCTGTCCTCATTCCATTCCTATTCCCATCTCTGTTTCAGTGAACAGTATACCATCAAGTCAGTTGTCCACATCAGAAATGTGAACAGCCTCCTAGACCTCTAGTTTTCTTCATCTCTTCTTCTGCTCTGTACCCAGTAACCACAATCTGACTGTTCTGCCACCTAAATAGATCTCAAGTTCAACTGCTTTCCATTTCCATTCTACTCAAATCCATTCCTCCAGTCATTCAACAGCTATTTATTGACGGCTTTCTGTGTGCTAGAAGATGTGCTAGGTGGTGGAGAATAGCACTGACTAGAACACATACAGTTTTTACCTCCATAAAGCTCACACTTTTAGCGAGGGGAGACGGAAATAAATGCACGAAGAGAAATAAAGCAGGGTAAGGAGCTCAGGCAGGGTTGGAGGGAGTGGTATTTTTTGGTGTGAAATGTTCACCGAAGGTCTCTGTAATAAAATTACATTTGAGAAGAGATCTGGAAAAACAAGGAAACAAACATTCTGGATATTTGGGGGTGATAGTTTGGATGTTGTTACCCCAAAGCTCATGTGGAAATCTGATCCCTAATGTGACAGTGTTGGGAGCAGTTTGGGTCATGGGTAGGTCCCTCATGAATGGATCAATGCTCTCCCTGGGGGAAGAGGGGTAGTGAGTGAGTTCTCGCTTTATCAGTTCCCACAAGAGGTGGTTGTTTAAAAGACCCTGTCACCTCCCCTCTCTCTTGCTTCTTCTTGCCATGTGATCTGCCTGTACCTGCCAGCTGCCACTTTCCACCGTGAGCAGACATGTGAGAATAGGGCTGATGTGAGAATAGGGCTGTTTGAGAATAGTGCTGCTGGGAGAAATGTACAGATGTCAGAATAGAACCTTTAGGTACTTTCCTTCCCACCCTCTCACCACTGCTACGTTCTTTAGCCAAACAGAACTCATACCAGCAATGGCAACTCCATCCTTCCAGTTGCACAGCCAAAATTCTGGAATCATCCATAACATGTTTCTTTCTCTTATACTCTCTTATACTCTACACCCAATCCATCAGCAAATCTTCTTGACTCTGACTTCAAAAGATATCCAGAATATGTCTCATTTTTACAATTCCCATTGCTACCTGTCTGGCCCTGGTCACAGTCACCTTGAATCTGGATTATGCTAATAGTCTATGTGTTCTTTTTTTTTTTTTTGTCTTTTTTCGTGTCACGCCCGTACTGGACCGGGACCGGCAACGGGATCGCAACCCTCGGTGTTGCTCCCGTGCCTCGCTCAGCCAGTGAGCGGGAACCGGTCTGTATGTGGGATCTGAACCCTCAGCGGGAGCGCCGCCGCGCTTCCCAAGCGGCGCACTGTAGCAGTGCGCCACCGGGCTGGCCCTAGTCTATGTATTCTTGTAAGACTATTGTTGCAATGGATCACTGTAACGGATCTTGTTTCTGCTCTGGTTTCCTACAGGTTGACATCCGAATCAGCAGTTAGAATTTCTTCTTGAAAATATGAGGTCATGATTCTCTGAATAAAAACCCTTAATGGGTCCCATCTCCCTCAGAGTTAGACTTAACGCTGCTGGTATGAGGAAAACTTGGTATAGCAAATCTGGAAGGAGAATCGGAGTTCAGTGTTAATGCTAAGTTTGAGATGCCTGTTAAACATCTAAATGCAGAGGTTGAGCAGGCAGTTGAATATATGAGTCTGGGAGCCAGAGGACTTTCCTGGCTGGTAACATAAATTTAGGAATTGTCAGTGTCCAGATGATATTTAAAGCCATTAGGTTGGATGAGATCACCAGATACTGAGTATGAATAGAGAAGAGAAAAGATCTGAGGACTGAGCAGTGAAGGACGTCAGCATTTAGATGTAGAGGTCAGAAGTCACTGCGGAGAGGAAAGAAAAGTAGCAGCCAGTGTAGTAAGAAAAAAAAAAGTGTCCCAGAAGGAAAGTTTAAAAATCCAGGCGATTTTCATCCCTAACCAGCATTTCCACAGTTGCCTGCCTTTGTTGTCTTGTCCTACATGCGTTCATCTGATCTTTCTAAAGTATGAATTCTAATCACATCAGTTTCCCATTTAAAC